ATATACTTTAGTACTTGGTTTATGTGAGGGTTGTAATACTATCATCCCAGTGCCGAAATTGAAGTAGGTAGTCTACTGTAGACTACAGTCTTGAGCCGAAAAGTCTAATTCACAAGACAATGAAGAAGTATTAGAACACATACCAACATGATAGCCGGTGGTCAAAATAGGCTTATATATACCGTTTCGTCAGAATCCTGGAATATATGTGCACAACCCTAGTAAAACGTATCATACCTAATCCCAGACATTTATAATCTGTTTAATTTTCTGTCAAGTGAAAGGAATAAGGAGGACTTTCATAAAGTCGCCATAAAAATGCGCGACCGTAAAAGATCAATTCAAATTAGAGTGAATTAATGGAATAAATTTATCAGTGTCATATATATATACCACTTGATTTCAATTCACTAACTGCCAGATAGGTTGATGCCTGGTAGTAAACCTGCCAATTTTTAGTGCATCACAGTACTCGCCCCCCAAATGCCCTGGTACGGCCAAGTGTGGGTAAAGATAGTTCTCTTTCTCAAAATGCTCTCACATCGCCACGCATATACAGCCACTGTCAGGGAAGTCTTACACACTGCGTTCTCGCAGCATTACTGTTGTTTACGAAATTGAGAGGAAGAAAAGAGATTGTCCAGCGCTTTAACCGAGTTGGTGGATAGACAGGATTCACGTAGGAGAGTTGGAAAACCCAGATTTTAAACCAATGATGAACATGGATTCAAGGATTCTGAGGTAACAAATGGTATATGAAACTATTGTTCGTCACCGGCTAACATGGGACTGTATTTCCTGACGTTGTTCCACTACTTCGTGAATCAGATCTTTAGATCGAAGGCTCCGGATGTGACCCTTTAAGTTAACCACCTGTTTTAGTCTAAGACACCGGAGCAGTATTACAGTCTACACACACAGTGCCTATTTGTACCAATATCTATGTGTTCAAATAGATTATAACTGTATATTTTATCCGTTTGAAAATAATGTTTTCAAATATATATTCTTTGTTTTGTTTTAATCAATCATTTCATATACATAAAGGTTATATGGACGTAGAATTCTTGAACAAATCAACTTGTTTACAGATATCAATAAAGTAGTATATAAACAAAATACTATAAATGATCATTCATTAGAATTGAAATACATCAAGTCAAAAGACTTAACATTTCGAAGATGATCACTTCAGGATATTCTAATACATGATGATGATGATGATGTTCATAACATTCCATTATGTTATACATTTTTGATTCTATGAATTGTTATCAAACAATAGAAACATATTCAATTTATATCATCGAAATAATATAATGTAAACATCTACTTTGAAGTTGTTCAGTTATTCTTTCTTTTACTAGAGTTTTACAAAGTGAAATGTTCGTGTTTTGTGGGTACAGTCGATTGATAATATCTACATCTCTAAAGATTATGATACAAATGTAGAATAATATGAAATGTACTGATTTGTTATGTTTATGAAGTATGATAGATATTCCGTTTCGTCCCTATTGTGGGACTTCTCGGCAGTGTGCATCCACGATACCGCCTCGCGGCATTCGGACCCAGGACTTATCAGTCTCGCGTGCGATCGCTTATCCTCTAGACCACCGAGAAGGCATTCAACAGTGTTAATGTCTAACTTTAACTAATCTACTAAATTGAGCGACACATCCATCATTGACATCAGTGAGTTACTATCTCACAACAGATCCGGTTGAACTCCATTGGTCACTGCTTCTCATTAGAACTCCAGGAAATACCTCTTGAAGCCAGTCACTGGTGAGCATATGTCGATTAGTATCAGAAGGGGTTTTGTGGAGATTGTTGTAATTTCAATAGTTGAGATCATGAGTCATTTAAAGCTAGACCATCATGCTGTTATTTAAATAGATACAGATTTAAACTAATCCCAAAACAAGACTCTGTATTTAGAAGATAAGGAAGGTATCCTAGACACTTTCTTACTGCAAACCGACATATAGCGAAAACTAAGTTTTGTTGTGTTCACCTATAAAAAAACAGTGTTAATTGTGCAGACCAAGTCAATTGAAATATTCTACGTCAGTTAGTCAGCTACAATGTAGGAACAGGCATATATATATATATATATATGCAACAGTCCAATGTGCCACACATCTACTTGTTACGAGGCAAATTCTCTAAACATTTTTAAGAATAAATAACGGATACTAAATTTTTTTACTTCGAAGATAAACATGTGATAAGCTAATAAGTATTAACATCTCACATCACACTGTTGTTTAAACGAATGTCATAAACAATTATCCACATAGATTACGCAGTACATTTCTTCAGTTGATAACTCATGACTCGAGAACTTAAGAAAGCCTCTAAGTTCAATGAAGCAAACCGTATGTGATTAGAGATATAATAAAATTCTCAGGAAACTAATGCAGGTTGCTGCCCAAATACAAATCATGCCAACTAATTTTTTTATGCAACCGACCTTTTTGTATGCCCTATCCGGCTAGACGATTTAACTGAGTGCACTAAGGTGCTAAAATATTACATATCAGTTTAGTTGTGCTTCAACTCAAACGTATTTCAAAACTTGGCCTAGGATGGACAGATGATAAGCTAAATGATAAGAAGATATAAGCAAACAATACTAAGTAAATTTAAGCTTCACTCCATTGTACAAGCAAGTGGCTTTCAGGAATCAGTAGCTAAATGGATAATGTAATGGCGTTTGAAGCGAACCGTACTAGGTTCGATTCCTGGGGTGAACATCAACTCTGTGATGCAGGTGCATCCAGATGACGAGTCCCAAATGCGACGAAACACGCGTCCTGGATTCCACTGCTAACTACTATCCATCTCTGCTTATAAAGCTTGGGATCTAAGGCAATATCGAGGCAATCCGCACAGTATGCACATATGCCAATATGAGACTGATCAATTGCAGTCCTAAACAACAATTGGAAGAGATAGTAAGTGAATTTATAACTGTTAAGAAGCTACTGAAAAGTCTTAATGAGTGTATGCATACGACTTTATTGACAAACGTCGAATTGATTTAGTATCTATCAGTCAAAGCATAATTCCTTTTCATCTAATTGACAAACCCGACTGTCAACCATATGATTTCAAAGACAAAGAAATGAGCCATTAGTTTATCATTATATAGTGAATAAAGCGTATGAACGTATAGCGAAATAGATGATCATAACCTTACATTGAACAAGTAATACACATGTTACCTTAACGGCCAATTGAGGTGAGTAAAACGAAAACAGTAACTTATGATCTCATGCATCAAGGCAAAGAAGAACAAATGTCTTGAAAATGGTATACTGTTGTGCATAACCACTAAGTTGAGTTTGGTTGTTTGACTAGGAGGATTTCCAAGACATGATGGGAAAAAAATTTCCTTACAACTTGTCTTCAAATTTAACTAATATTTTGGTGTATATATAGAATAGTTGGAATGTAGCTATCCGTGGAATCCAGGATGAGTTTCATCTCATTTAGGAGTTCTCATTTGGATGTACTTGCATCTCCGAGTTGATGTTCACTCCGAGATTCGAACCTAAGACGTTTCGATCCAGACACCAATGAGTTATTTACTTAACCACTAACTGAGTTCACAGAGCTAATTACTGATGCAACGGGTATTAACTGTAATTTAATTTTTAATGATTTGGATTATCCAGTTGTCGAATATTTTGACTTAAATTTGATCAGTCTTAGTTGGCATATGTGTATTCTGTGCAAAATGCTTTAATATAGCCATTATGTCACAAGTTTGTATAGCTACCCACATTACATCTATTCCATAATGGCGAATATTGTGGCAATCTGTACAGGGTGCATATATGTCCATTAGTTACTTACGCCTGTTACTCCTCTTGAAGGAGCATAGGCCGCTCACCAGCATTCTCCATCCAACTCTGTCCTGGGCAATCCTTTCCAGTTCCTATTGATCCTTTTCATATCTGCTTCTATTTCCCGACGTAATGTGTTCTTTGGCCCTCCTCTTTTCCACTTCCCTTCACGTTTCCAAATTAGGGCTTACCTCGTGATGTAGTTTGATGATTTGCGTAATGTATGACCTATCCATTTCCATCGTCTTTTCCTAACTTCTTCAGCTGGAAGCTGGTTTGTTCTCTCCCAGAGAAGGCTGTTGCTGATGGTATCCAGCTAATATATGTCCATTAGGACTGATCAAATTTCAGTCAAAATATTCGACGACTGGATAATCAAAGCCATTACAAAATTAAATTAAGCAGTAAATTTATTTGAGTAAGCCTGAAGACTTATAGAATACATTACCCATAGATATTCTATCTTAGTCAGTCAGTCAGTCAGTAACAACGTGGAACTTCGTACGTACGTACATCAGTTCAAGTTGCCACACCACATTAGCACAGAGATGCAGTGGTCGATTCAAATTCCATAGTATTAAAAGTGTAAGTAATGATCGGAAAGATTAGGGTTTGAAGATGTTATTCAAGGAGTATAATCCAGTGAAATAAGTTTGGAAAGAGTAAAAATAAAGGGACATGAAAAATTCAGAAGATTAGAATTCGGGAGAACACAGAGTGAATGCACATGCGCCATTACAAACAATTTTGAGCCATGTCATTTAAGGTCTCTGTTATATCTAGAAGGTTGTTCTTGATGTACCGCGTATAAAATGAGCACTAGAACGCCAGAACCCTTCTAAGTCTCAATGAGAAGACAGAAGACTAATGAAAGGAATATTATTCCCAGATAGTGCCAATTATAGTACGAAATTGTCAGGTATTTATAGTTTTTAGTAAGAACGTAATCATCATTACAGTCCTCCAATCCACATACAGGGGGTTATTAGCATTGTCCAATCGGGAAGCTACACGTAAGAATTCTAGGATATTCTTCCAAAAGGTGATTGGATGGAATATCCTCGGCTCCTTCTGAGCCTCCTACAGCTTCCTCGAGTTCACCCATGGTCCGTCGTCACAATTTCTAACCATCAGTTGCTATCGTCTTGCGGATCCTAACCAAGTAGTCTACATCCACTAATATGGTTCAGTAACTTCATGGATTTGTGACATGTTTCGGTCTAGCCGCCCCTAGCTTTCTTACAACTTACTTCTACACCATAACATTTTTATCTTATCGTTAGTGAAAAAAGTTATCAATAGTTTTTATTAATATCACTATTAAACAAAAACAAAAATTCAAAGCAATATGATAAAGATTTATACACTATTTAGAGTAATGTTTCGAGAGTAAGTGATAGAGCGTCTCCACACGAGAAAAAAAAGATTTCGACTGTTTTTTTTTTACAGTTTACTGCTTCGACTGAAAACAAGTAGTGTACTGAGATTGTGGTTCATTGAAGCAACCGCTAGAAACAACAGAGGTATATGAAACATAGAACTAAATACTCAGTGAGAAAAGTAAGAGATTGCTTAACTTTAAATAGCCGTTGAAACAATTTACAGTTTGCGTGTGAAGAGTAATTTTTTCAGAAAAATGTAAAACCAAGTAAACCTACGTAATGTACACATAAAGATGTCCATTGAACTTAGATGATATATATATATACTAATATCTGGAAATTTTCATAAGTGACAGTCTGTTCTTAAGTAGTACTTGCTGGAATTCCATCATATTGATTTTTTGTTCATGCATTCACTTCAGATGACTGGTTTTGACGTCCACGTTTTACAGACAAATTGTGTAAGCGAGCCAAATTTACTTCGACTGTAGTTGTTTGATTTTTAAGAAATTCTAATGTTTGATCTACATCTTGCAAGGATTGTTCAGCTGATTTTTCGTTTTCAACTAGTATTTTGTCAGCTTCCTCTAGATCATATTCTAACATGACATTGGCACCTAACCATAAACCAACTCGATCTGCTTTGGGAATATGAGCACGTGTATATAACTGGTTAGATATTTCAAAAGTTACGTCTAAATTAGTATTTTGTTTTTGTAATTGTCGGACAACAGCTAAAGTTTTCTGTATATCTGGTAACTGTTGCATTAATCTTATTTTACGCTGTAATAGAGCCTGTTCAATAATTTTATATTTTTGGTATAATTCTTCGAAAGAACGTCCAGCTTCCATAAGAGTTGAAAAATTATTGGCTTTCATGTAAGCATCTACATCTTCGATGAACTCAGCCTTTGGTATTCCCTTTTTATCCATGTCATTATGTTGATCGTTTTCTTTTGAGTTGTTGCTTGTGTCAGCCATAATCAACGGAACTAAAACTATTAACATTAGTAAATAATATGTTATGAGAACTCATAATCTTAGTGACAAAAAAAACATGACGCTAAAAACCTGAATCACAAATATTTTCTATCATTACTAAAATTGGCCTATCTTGCATCTTAGTGTTATCTGTAAACGTGAAGATGGGAATTTAATCTCAATTAATGGAGATAAGACAAAGTTACGATGGTAAGTCGTACTTTTGGCCAGGTATTTGTCAAACAGACAAAATAAATGAGTGGCTAAAGGCTATTAATAAAGCGGTTGGGTTAATGAGTGTTTATTTCCTGTTATATATTTGAAAGGTTAATAAAATTGACTTACACTCGTGTACAGAATTGGTTACGTATTGAAAGTTTAACGAACGGAGTTTCTTCATGACCTAATAGTAGCGTTTGATAGTTTATGAAATATTTAATGTCATTTTAAGGCGTTGAGCACTTGATACTGAGTCATTGAATTCAAGGTTTGAACTATTCTTTACCTTAATCCATTTGTATTGTTTATTCGAATCTTCCATTATTGTTTAGAACTCTAATTAATCAATCTCTTTTAGCATATATGTGCATCCTGTGCAGATTGGTTTAAAATTTGCTTATTCGTTAGTTTGTTGAAGGTAGACGGATATTATATTTCATTCTAAACATGATTAAAATCTTCGTACATAGACCAGAACTTTTCTCGCAATTTACAGCAGTTTTTGGTGACAATTAATAAAATAAGCTAATAACCATTTTCAAATAAGTGGCTGTGTAACTTATACAGGCAGACTAAATAATTAAGAGTTTGTGTAGTGGTGTACTTCTAAACGATATGAAGGAAAAGGTCAGCAGAAAACGGAACTGAAAAACATAATAAAATGGATATTTTCGGATCATGAGATAGCCAAAAACAAACCCAACTGCACAACCTATTACGATTGCCACCAGGTATTTTTTAACTTTGCCACAAAGTGGTTAAAAATAAATGTAGTTAAGTACTGAGAAAAGCAATCTTTTAGGAGTCAATGGAAAAAAAGATCTGAAGCCTACTTACGTGAAGTAGGTAACTGGGAACCTGTTAAAGTAACCCAGTACTGCCAACCTCTACAGATGTAATCTCGTGTTGGATCAGGTTAAAAAAACGAAGGGTACTCAAACCAAGATAACTGACCTAATGACTTTGCATGATAAGCAACTGATTTTTTGTTCACGTGTCCGGAAAAAAACCAAGTGTTTGATTTCCCTTTACATCTGGGAAGTTTCGCTAGCCATGATTAGTTGGTAACTGAGTAGATCTCGATACTAAATCGAAAAAATAATCCGGTTTCCCCAACTCGTACCACCTACAGTGTAAAATAGATATCCGCGTCTACTAAACGATGATGGTATACAGCGTAGAAGTCTGTTTTCTTTTACTATACGGGTGTGGGAAGCGGATTTTGAAGGTAGAGAATTCCTAGAGTACTATTATTTTATCACAGGTATTTTCAAAGCTTTAATAGTGTATAGTGGAGCGACTGAGTAAGTTATCATAAAGCTTATACCTAGTACAATGTAAAGTTGGCAAATCAGTTAATGAGGCTGTGAATCATGGATTTAGATATCTGAGACATGAGATACCTACGCTCAACCCCTGTCTAATTGGACCCGCAATGGTGACTGGTGTAGTAGCTTGCAATATCCAGCTCACAACTGAGACAGTGTGACACACAAACTCTTGTTTTCAAACTGGGAGGTTATAGAGTAGAGCTTCAAGGATTTTTAACCCAATCATAAGCAACGTCATTCGCGATACATTTATAAATATTGGCAAATTAATCATTTCTACACAGTACCCCATAGCGTCCAAACGGAACACTGGTCCAAGAAAATAATAGGCTGAAAAGTATACCGAAATTATGTGCAGGCATATATATATATATAATGTTGGTACAGAGTCATTATACAACAACCAATTACTGAGATAAGCATCTTCTAAATAGGGAAATTTTATGTGATTGGAACACGTTCTGCGGATTGAACTGACTTGTTATATGCACATATTGGTAAGTTACAGACACGACGGAACACAGAGAAACCTATGGTAATTTTTATCTACTTTAACAGCACGAAGAGAAGTAACGATGGTATTACAAATACCCCTAATGCAACTGGTATGTGTACATAGACCATAGTGGTGTCGTGAGACTAAAGTTCGTCGATCTAGAAGTATTTGTAGAGACGTAAGTTTAAATTGTAGAGGCTACTGTGAGCACTATAACAACCTACAGAACATTTCACAACGCTAAGCTGTAAAACATGATACTAGTTGTAAATCGCATAGTGAAGTATACGACATTATAATAGCCTCCAAACTAAAGAAGCAAATGGTTCTCTCATACATATATATATACCAGCTTAGCCATCTCTCATTAAATTTTGCTTCATAATTATCTGTGATTCCATAGTATGGACGTGATCGTATCCGGCGATGATAATGATGCAGCTAGGTGATTGCCAAGAATATTCAAACATGGTAGCTTACAGCTTACCTCAATAATCCACAGCTGAGTGTGGAATTTGTACATGTAGCAGTTGACAACTGATTGCATTGTCGCACCATGGAATCTTGGATGTGACGAATGTTCAGTTGCTAGGTGCTCCCAAATGCCCTAGTACGGCAGAAATTGGGGAGCCAACTCTCCCTCTCAAAATGCTCTTACATGGCCACGTGCATACAATCACTGACAGGAAACTTCTACTCACTGCCTTCTCGAAGCATCACTGTTAATTACAAAATTGAGAGGACGAAAAGAGAATGTCCGGCGCTTTAACCGGGTTAGTGGACATGGAGAGTCCACCTAGGGTAGTAGAAAAACCCTCATTCGAAACCAATGGTGCACATGGGTTCCACGATAGTGAGAGAACAAATGGCGTATGAACCAATCGTTGGTGACCGGCTACCATGGGACTGCATCTGCTGACGTTGCTACACTACCTTGTGGATCAAGGCTTTAAGTTGAAGGATGTAGGTTCGGCCCTCTAAGAAAACCACCTGCTTCGGTTTGGGCGTCCTGGCATTATCCCAGCCCCCAGACAAATCCAATGACTTGTGGGGCGCATAACAATTTGGTGTCTCCTCGTACGAAAGTTTATGTGTTAAATAAATAAAAATATAATAGTTAGTGTCTAGGTTGTCTATCTGTATATCAAGACTTCAAACTGAAATACAAAGTTTGTTCAAAGTCTAAAACAACCGGATGCATTAACTTGATGTGTGTATGGTTGCGATAAGTTTTCATTTATCATCCTGATAGCAATTTTGTATTAATTAGTTTTTTATCATTATGCATTATGATTCATATCTATTTTTTTCCTTTGGACTCGAGACACATGCACAAAAATGGCGTACACACACACTGGCAACACTAACCTACATTCTGTAATTTATTACCAAGTAAAAGTATTCTTCTTGACATACTTGCATTTTTGGTCCAAAACCCTTCCGCTTATGCCAAACAAGTGAAATAGGACATTATTAACAGGAAGACCAGATACACCTGACAAAAGCCTTGTCTGAGTGTCCACGAATGTCTCATGCCTATCACTTACTATCCATATGAGGAGCTCACCATTATATATCCAAAAGCAACGTAATTAATGGAAGTTTAGAAATAATAAGACATAAGACTAAACTTTAAATCTGGGAATTTGTCAAACTATCTCATGACTGAAACTTCGTTACCATCTGAATCTAATCTGTAGATAAAAGTATACCATTCTTATGAACACAAACCCATGAAACATAACACTCGATAAAGTAACGACAACCTAACCCACCTGCGGTAGCTATATCTTTAATATTGCGCTCCGCAACAAAACACATCCAATATATACAATACAGTTTTAATGAACTAACAGAAGCCACGTAGTTCCCCTGATTTCATCCATTTATATTAAGAACCAGTATCCGTCTTGTTTCAGAGGAGTCAACTAATTGTTAGTAACATGTTGGATTTTAGAGATAAAATGAACGAATTGTAAATCCCAATTTGGTGAAGTTTAGCCATACGATCGCACTGGTTATGGTCAGTTTTGGTAGTTATTAATGGGTCTCTATATCCTGCAATATGAATGAGAACGTTTGTTTCGAGGCAGTAGAGTTTCTCGAACCAGTAAATATCACATTACCAGACTAGAGTTTGGTTGGTTGTTTGCACTGTGAAAAGTAATAAAGAGAAAATCCAAATTCAGAAAAGGTAAGAGAAAACCGTTGTCTCAATAAGTGGATTGATAATTACACAAGGTAATGGAACGGTAGTGCAGACAATGTGATAAGAATGAAGTTTAAGAACAAAAGGGGAAACGAAGACGATAATAACCGGGATAAGAATAAGTCAGTGACATGTGGTAATGGTGTAGTGACTCACATTTATCACGAGAACACGACTGGTTTAATAAAAACAATTATTATTATAACCAACTGTACCAGTGCTTGTTCTAATGTGCTTTTTTTTGACTGTGCTAATGACAGCTATTTTGTGCTTCCATTCTTTTACTTACACTTTGATTGTAACTTCGCGCGGATTCTGTTACGTTCTGTAACCAAGCTTCTATCCTGGCACGATCTCGATATCCTTTCGATGCCACGAGATCGCCAGAGAATATATCTCGATTGGGTCCATTAACTGTCTTCTGATATTTGGCTTCTCGGGGATTTTATGGATTTATTTGGTTACGTTCAACCTACGCCTTCTGATTTACTTGGCACGTGTTTCTTTGTAGCGGTGTTCATAGTTAACCTCAACTCGACACCACGCTGCAATGGTAACAGTAGGTGAGCAACGAGACATGCGTCAAGTACAGTTATTCTGAGTGTAAAATAATAAGTCATTAGTAAGTGCTTTTTAAGTCACTTGTTGGAGTCTGCGGTCACAACGAACAAGGCAGGTAGCGGCATTTCCCAATGAGAAAAATCAGGGGTATATATAAGCTTTTGCCTTTTGACGAAATTTTTCAAGGATTTTCTCAGAAGGAATGATGATGATGTTCTTTTAGGATGTTCGTGTTGAGGTGACTTAGCGTACTAAGTATGTCATGTGCCGTTTTCAGATCAGTTCTTCGTCCCTGTAGCACAGAGGAAATATCCTTGTGTGTCGGAGTTTCTTTTTATTGGATATGTTTCACAGCTTCATCGTCCACTTAGTCTCTCGTTTCTGCACTTAATCAAAGGGATTTGTATCTCTTTTGAAGAGACGAGTAATAATGGTGGATGTAAACGAGACGTGATGTATACATGCTGAAACGCACAGAGCGTGTCACTGCAAAATCAAGTATGGGCAGGTCATGTCTCAAGCGAATATATCTAAGACACCATGGCGCTCATAGTTAGGGTGTCCTTTTCTAAAATTTTCTATTGAGGAGGATTCAGTCATCTGGGCTGGGGGGATGCGATCGAAGCGTAAACTTATCAATGTGCTCATGACTGGATGTTCTGCCTTTGAAATGTAGGCCGAGAGTCTCCTTGAGGCGAGCTGAGGCTACCTTCGCAATAATCTTTGTGGTGAGCTGGGACTCACTAAACTGGTTCTCGGCCTCTAATTTCTCAGCTTAGAGAATTCTTCTAGAAACAAACTCCGTCTGGTAAAGGAAGTGTCATAGATCGGAAGTGGTCTCGATGAGTATTTGAAGGGTATTTCGTCTTAATGTGAGGAATGACTCTGTTCATGGTTTATAGAATTCATGTAAATATTAAGTTTTGCTATAACTGGACAGTATTCTAGTTGATCCAAACGGTGACGTAAATGAAGTAGATGGGAAGAAAGAGGAGACGCCTGCAAATAGAGCGGCTTTCCAACAACTGTGTCATGTGGTTGCTTCGTATTACCTTCTCTTAAAGCCTTTCCGCTGCAACTGGTAGCCCTTCTACGTATTTTCGCTTATCAGCTCTAATGCTACTCTTCATTCTTTTATTTACTTGTGTGTATTCCGTCTTTACCTTGACTTTCTTTGTTATCGTTCGGCTGTTGTTATTCGCTGTTTTATTGTTCTTCCTACCTTAAACCTTGTCCAGGGTCTCCACAGATATCCACTCCTTTAGATGATGCTTCTTGTGATTAGCACTTCTTGACACGTTGAAGTTAGTGCTCCACTGATCACTTTTCAACTGTTCTTCAGAGTATTTTCCCTTTCTCTATGTAGATCATGTAATGCTAGGAACCTTTTGATGAGAGTTATCTTGAATTCGTTGAGTTTTTCAGTATCTCAAAGGAAGGCTGAATGGAACATTTATAACGCTGTTTCTCCAGTTGTCCAATGCTTCTTTATCTTGACAACCAACAAGTGGTAACCTGAAGTTATGTTAGATTCTCTCCCAATCCCCATGTCTTCTATTGCCCTTCCAAAAATGTTAGTGATGCAAATAAGATCTACCTGGTTCTTCCTGGTGTGATCCGGTGATACCCATGTAACGTTGTGTATACGTTTGCGGAGAAAATATAGTGCCACTACGTACACCTAACGAAATAAATCTGCCTACTAAACGCAATCTAGTATCAATATAATAATGGAAGTATCACGACCAATTACAAAGATAAGTAGCACATTGCTAGGTTTGAAGCTATTACGAGTTCACTTAGTATGCAAACGGAACAAAGACTTGTGACCGAAGACCAATAAGCTAGCTACTTGATGCGTCCCAGCCCCGCTAGCTGGAGGAAGAAGTTAAAGCTTGGAAAGGGAATGTATATTCCGTAAGCCAGAAGCACGAGTGAATAATAACAGACACAAATCAAAAGGGATATGTACAGCATAAAACTGTCTTTGGGGAGCGTTGCAAAAATAGCATACTAGAAATACACAACGGCACAACTGTTACGGGAGAACTGAAGACATTTGGCGGATTAAAACCTTTTATTGTACATTAATAATTTACTGTGTTTTTGGATGTAATTGTTTTACTTAACTTTTGAACTTGTTTGTTTATATCATTATTAGAGACGTTTTGGTTTGTCTTTGGTTTGGTATTTTGGTGATCTCTTTGTATTTGGTTTGGTATTTGGGAGTTTTGCTCCGGGAACCTACAAAATTGAAGGCTTGTTTTGTAATTGTTATAATTATTGTTGTTAGAATGAGATTTGGTCGACTATTTGTGAATTGCGAATAAATTTGTTATCTAAGTTGGAGTTTGGTTCTATTGTTAATTTGGGTTCGTAATTTTCAAGTAGATCGATAATCCGTACTTCAATAACTGGAACGAGCAAAACTTGGACGCAACACCAATAGCGTTAAAGATGCTCCCAAATGAGAAATACGACATGAAGTTGGAAAGAGCTCTTTTGGCGCAAAAACATGGGATTTTAAATTTCCAAAGTAAAATTATAAAATTAAGACATTTACCAAGTAAGTTCTGGGGATCTAGCACCCCCAACACACATGTCTAACCAACAGTGGCAAAAATTAAGCTCAAGGAATCAACAAAGGGTCAGTAAAATTTATATGAAAGACTGAGTCAACCTCATGTCTGACATTCAAGCAGTTATGACGATAGTGATAGCTTGTCTGAAATTAGATAGGTCTTAGTTAGTGAATGGTTAATTCAAATATTATTGACTGATTCGCCAATACGCACGATTATTTTATTCGCCTTCAAAGGACTAATCAAATTCACTCATGAATTACTGAGCACTAATGCTTCAGACACACCACGTACATAATTGACAGATAATTCCCATTCAAACATTGAAAACACAAAGTTCAGCGAAAGGGTCTCTTTTCGATGAATTTATTATATATATCGTATACATATACATATACATATATATAAATAAACATCAAATCATATATATATATATATATATATATATTCGAACATTTTTTAAGTCAAGTACTTGTTCCGTAAGGAAATGTGGAAAAGGAATAACCAAGATGATGTGATAGAAGGCTCACAATACTTTATTACGTAATACGGATGATAACAATAGAAGTAATGAGTTAGTGAATAATTATAACGTGAATGTAGCAAAGTGATTAAAATTCCTTTGTTACAATAATTAGGGGTCATACAGGTGTAAAAAAAGAAAGTCATATAATCAGCAATTATGAAAGAAATAATGAGAATATAGTATATAAGTAAGGAGAGAAATGCAATAATAATAATAACAGTAATATTAACAATACCAAGGTCCAAGGTAACGACAAAAATAGGACGTATATGTTTTTTACGCATATTTCCGTCTTGAGCTCATTGATGGTAAGAGCTTCGGCTATTTTTAGGAGTTGGACAAATAGGATATACAGCTTTGAAGTCAAACTACGGATCAGTATAATGTTTACTTTCAATTATATGTTCAAGTATGGAACTTCTAACTGCTCTCTTGCCACCCATGTCGAACAACAGTGGGTCATGTTTCCGTGTCCGAGGTGAAAGCGAGCGTCGGCTACGGCCAATATACCTTGCTCTACAAGAGCAGGTGAACTGGTAGACACACATGGAAATGACCAGACGGGAAGGTCATCGTCTATGGATACGGAAAACAAGTTCCTACTACTGAACGTTATTCTCAGTTTTGCCGTATGGAATGTCCTTATCATTGCTGTCGTTAAACGATTTTTGATCACATCAGAAGTTCGATCACCCTGAAATCCAAAACTTTTGTAAAGGATTTTCTTTGGAAAGGAACAACTGGATCCCTTGTCACAACTACTTCTTTTAATATTCCCATCTATTAAACGGTTCGGATGATTATTTTTCATCAGGGTTTTCCTGAGGATTGCAAGTTATTAGTCAATGAATTCCGTACTACATATCCGGTGTATTCATTAACATAAAGAGTGATTAAGATTTCTCTTTCTGTCTAAAAGAACACATCAATAAATGTTGGTCAGCTGGTCATTCCATGGATGACATATTTGTTATTTGTAACGATAATATTGAATTAGAAGGCATTTTACACTCGATTAACACATGACACCCATAGACTACACGATCCAATGTGTGTGACCAGTCATTCTATTTTATCTGTGTACGTTTGATAAGAAAGTGTAACGCTCCCTTAAAAAATCCATGTTTAGGGAACAAAGATGCAAGTTTTGCACCATAATTCCAATCTAAATAAAGTATTTCAGGTTTACAAGCGATCCGTATGTCGAATGCCGCTCTGGCTGAAGTTCGATAGTCCACACTTTCTAGAGGAATCGCATCTCATCATTGCCTAGTGTGGTCAACCATAACTAAAATGTAATCATTTCCCAGGTTGGCTCCCGTGATGGCCTAATAATATCAATCCACACTATCTCCTGAGTCCTAAGCAAATATATCACAAAACCTTTTTAACTTTCGGCATAACATTGCCCCATACTCCGAGATGACAGTTCACAAATAAAGGTGAAGTATGATCCGTCTCTGTTGGATTAGCATTAATCGATATTTGGAGTCTAGATACTGTGTCTAAAATACAGCAACCCACAGAAGCTAATTGACAGTAATTAATGAAATTGAATGACTAACCTACCACTTCTGGACATTAAAAAATGCTTGGAATCGCACCGAAACATTAAGAGGAGAGTGCAAAGATATTAATCAGTTTATGCAAGCTCGTAACGAATACTTTGGATATTGGATACTGGACATCTCATTGAGGTTGTTTCTATAGGAACGCCTTAGGTAATTCTAAGTGGTGATTTGATTATTCAGTTTACCACATTCAAAACATAATCATATCTATTTTGTGTTTTGACTGTCGAATTTTCATCGTCTTACGTTTATGTTTTTGAGTTCACACGGAAACAGTCGTAAGAAAGTCTATAGAAGTCATCTAGTATATAATAACTCGCCTGGAATTTTAGACGATGCAATAACTTATTAGAATTTTTTAGTTGCTTTCCATAATAATATAGGTGTAGCGTGTTCTTAATAAGTTGTCGATCACCTTAATCACGAATGGCTTTTCATATCCCACCACACTATTCCTTGAGGCTAGACCCAACCTTACCAAGCTCTGAATATTCCACAGGTGTAATCTTGCTCTGTTGGCCTATGGTCACAATTATCTGATTCTCTTGTTCTCAGCCCTGTCCTGTTGTCGAGTTTTGTCATTATAATCTCAACGTATTTGTTTCTAGACTTTTTCGGGTCAATTTTCCAATTGTTATGCTATATTTCCCTCTTAATTCGCACTAACGACTTTCAGGTTGAACACGAATTTACCATAGACCCAACGTAACACAGAAGACAGAGTAACTACCTCCCACACAGAACCTGAATTCTTACAACCATTTGTTCACTTAAGTGATTTATCCAATGCATTCTATGACTTGCCAGGATTGTCCTAGGAAGTTAGAGGTCGAACGCTACGTTAAAGAGCATAAGATTGATGAAATGCTTCAGAATTTGACCTCTTCGTTGTTCTACAAAATGCCAGGTAAGCATTTCTACTACCCGTTTTATTCGTTAAATATCCACTACTATATATATATATATATATATATATATATATATATATATATATATATATATAATCACTCAGATCCTCCACAGGAACGGATGCACGTGTGTGTCAAATGGTTTTATCGCTTCTCATATTTGAATTTGTAGCCTTATGTCAATAGGAAGTAAGCAATGACTCACTTAGTATAAACTCAGTGTTAAATTGATGTTTATAACTTACATAAACGTCGAACGTTTAGACATAATATCGCACTAGTTTTCCGTTAGTTTATTAGTGTTCACTGAAATTTCACAATGTCACTCACTTTTATAAATTATACTGTTATAATGCTAAATGCCAAGTACATTTGCACTCCTTATTTTGTTCGGTTATTGTGATTTTTTCAGCAGGTTAGTCTTGAATGAGTTAGTGTGATGGTTAGGAGTATTCGAATGATAGTACGATTTAAGAATCCCAGAAATAACGCAAGTGGGTCAAGAAGTACTCGATAGGCGCGAACGAATGTACTGTATTTGGAATTCGGAATCAAACATTTAACAAGTATAAAGGAATCATTATTTCATTCAAACATCACATCCGCCACAGCTCAAATTGGAGTCTATGTGTTTGTAAATGATTATACGTTTCCTTCTTAAGTTCATCCTGTGTCTGATCGACAGTTTATTGGATAAAGACTCTGTATTATCTAGAATGCACTCATCAGTTTTAGAATTAACAACCAAAATCGGAACAAACTCACCTGCTTCCTGGGATTGTGTACAATCACAATGTCGGTTGAGTACTGAAACTACTGATACCTAGAATTTGAACCATAGACATTCAGACTATCCTCTCCCACGAAATAATGTCGGATCTTCATATCCCCAAGTTATTAATAATGTGTCTTCATTCAAAACCTATTTTTCACATTGACTAGAGTATACATTGAAAGCGACTTTATGATAAGGATAAACAACAGTTGATATGAAATCATCTGAATTGTAATCAGAATCGAGCTCATTTAACACTCGTGCTACGCATTGAACAAGTTTCCCACAAGAAATTAAGACACTGAGAGGATAAATAATATTTGCTATGGTATCAATATTTGATTCTCCTGAAATAGTTTCCTCAGATTTATTGAGTGTCGTCTCAGAGCAAGGATCGTTAGAAAAATTTGCATCTATCAAAACTACATCACGTTTTCGATTATAATTATGTTCACTCAATATATTTTCTTCAGATTTGTAAGAAACTTCATCAGAAATATGTAGATCATCAGCAAAAACCATATTTGGTACAATAATATGAGAAATCTAACAAATCGATTGATTAGAAACTGTTATCTTGCAAAGATTATGAGTTTCACTTAACGCTGAACTGCTATATGACTTTACACTGTCTTTTAAAATCGGTGATAAGGATAAATGATCATTAGGAACACTGGAATTAATAGAATTAAAATTACAAGACTTAATATTCGCTGCAGCAAGATGAACAGTAGTGTTACAAACTGATTGAATATGTCCAATATCATCACATTTAAGGCACTTAGAATTACGAAATTTACATGAATTAAGAGAGTGGAACCTGCCACAAGACAAACATTGACCAAACTTATGCCCAGCTTCGTGAGTCGCATTGCAACTCCTCAATAAATTATTTGCATAACCTTGAGTGTGCACTGGGTTGGGATGACGTAATGTGGTGGAATTTTTTGTATCCTCATGAATCGTTTTACGAAATCTTCTATTACCGCATTCGAAATTTGTATACTTAGCATAGTCTAGCGGTAGTTCCTTGAGAGCTGCATAAGGAAGCGAAATGGGCTTTTCCGGCATAGCCAGAGTTTTTAATAAGCTATATGATTCTTTTCCGATGAATGTGAGGAAATGTACTACAATATTAACATCCTCATCATCTTCCTTTGTCATAGCCCAAATTTTGAATCTTTTAAAGTACTTCTCAAAAGCATCAAAATCTGAATGTATATCCAAAAATTCCATCACAGACTCCATTGCGACCCCAATATGGTCATAAGAAATATTTGAATTATAGTATAAACTAAGAATCCCATAAATAACGCAAGTGGATCAAGAAGTACTCGATAAGCACGAACGAATGTACTGTATTTGGAATTCAAAACCAAGCATCTAACAAGTACAAAGGAATCATTATTTCATTCAAACATCACAGCAAATGGGAACTGTGAACTGTTTACCTTCTGCAATATTGCTCTTTATTATTAAACAGTGGCTGATATTTATCATTCGTTTCCTCTTTTTACTTATAAGGAGATCCGAAAATGTTTTAAGATTATCGATTAAAACTTTATATAACCATTTACTGTAGTAAAATTTAAGTCTTTCTATTAACTGCACGTGACCACAGTACCTAAAAAACAACTCTGTCTCGTTTCACAAACTTTATAAAAAGTTGCCAGTTAATCTGCCTCAAATAAATTAATTATCAATTTAAGGTCGAAATTAGCTTTCCGGCTTTTGAATCTCACTATGAGATTTCGAAATTTAATCTGACTATTAAAATATATTACCTTTAAAGTACATTCGTTTCACTTCATTACCAGTGAAGTTTGAAGTATTCCGCTGTTAATATGAACCAAACTTTAGCTTGTCTTCTGACTAAAATAAGAACAACTAATGTAGTAGAATAACATGGTTTCATTATATCTCAATGTTTCTGATCAGCTGCTTACAATGTAAACATAGTTGTATTAATCTTTAAAAGTCAGTGTACATAGATCATATTATAATGCCGAAAGAGTTTTCATCAATAAAAGTCAGTGAAATGAACAATAAGTAAGAAAGAACGATCAGACATGTTCATATGATAATGTGAACATTTATAAGTTGAATATAAAAATATTCTAGAGTAAGCAACTAAGAACGCAGAGATAGAAGTACTTGAAAATTATATATGAATGTTAAAGTCAGATAACTTTTAAAAATTAACTAGCTGGGAATACATTAGATAAAAAGTATGAGTTAATAATTAGATTCATAAAATGAAGGATTGCGTAACAAACATTTATAAATAAGTTTACCAAGGCAAGATTGACAACTACATCTTTCTAAATGCCTAAATTTGGGTTAAGTCTTTTGATGGCAAATGCTTCAGTAGATCGCAATAAATTTGACATTCTTTATTCATTAATCATCTTGAAGAACTTTGAAACATCAACACTATGGCCAGTATCAAGGGGAGGGCGCGCGATTGCATTACTGAAAACGTATTTTTATCTCAGTCTAACCTTTTATGGAATGTGCCATGCAATGTCCTCTTTTCTGTTTTTTTGATGTATGTTCTTTGACACGTACATGTAAACTGGTAAATGCAATTAGAAACGATACAAGGTAGGAATTTGTTCACACATGACTGTCTTAGTGAGTAATTTGCTTGATACAGAAGGACCGGTTTGGCGGCTGGAAAAGTCATCTTTATTGTAATTTTTAACCTAAATTCCGTTTTTTTCAATTGCCTTATCACCCTTGAAGCCAAGTCTTAGGAATTCAGGCTTTCTGCCAAATACAGTATATTCCATTTCTTTCATTTAGTCTTCCCGTACTTGTTTGGGAATTTCTGAGGGGAATCATTATTATGTAAACAAAGTCCGGGTATAGTTAGTTCCTCATCAACCTTATCTTCCGAAAATAATCTTCTGGTACGATTGAACAGCTTTCTAAACAAAGCTATAGTCAGATTGATGTAGTGGATACGGGTAGCCCACCGAGCCCAATCCTGACAGATATCTTCATGGTAAACCTAGAACAGACAGTGATGAAATCGATAAACAATGATACAACGTTGTACGTTGGATATGTTGATGACGAATTAGTGGCCATTAACGTTTATCAACATGCTTCTCATATGCTGGAACTCTTCGTAAATTTTTATTGACGATAACTCTTCCGACACTATGGTGTGTAGTATATACCCTGACTTTTGAGTATTAATACTACCATGTTTAAGTTTTATGCAGCTGATCATAAACTGTGAAATGTAGTGAAATCATGTTATCCTGTTACATTAGTTTTTCCTTTAGTCAACTTTATGAATGGGAAGAAATAGTCTGTATTTATTGGTATAATTAGATACTGTGAGCATTGACTAGGTATAAAATAGGTGGATTATGGCTAGCATCAGAATCAATGATGCGCATTCGGTACGACTTGAAACTTATCAGTGAGATTTACCTACATTCGTTTTGGTTTTTATATCGGTATCTGAGCTAAGTACTGTGTGCCTCAAATGACTGAATCCGAGTAACCAATGGCTTGTGCAGAGTATGATTCTTATCATACTATTGGTAAGTCAAACTTTTGCCCTCAGCATCAACAAAAATACAATACGATCTCATTCTAATAATGATATAAATATCATACCCGTTGCACAAGTGATTGGATATCTAAACTCAGTACCTCATTGAATAATGTGTTGGCGTTCAGATTGAAAGTCACTAGGTTATATTCGCAGTGCAAACTTAAACACATATGTACCTTTATCCAGTTAAAAAGTTCCATGTAGAATAAATCGTTTGTCTTGAATTCCACTTCAAACCACATTTCATCTAATCTATAAGACATTGTAAGGAAGTTATATTTTACTGGATCAGTCCTGATTAGGAATTCAAACTATGCTGTATTCAATTAGTTAGATAATAGTAATGTGTAGAGAATCAAGAGTTTGTGAATGATTTGTCTGGATAGTGCTTTTTTCAAACATATACTGTATTCAATTTTGAATCATATCTATCACTTATATTAAGGGATATTGTCCTCATCCATATCTTTGAGGATCTATATGGTTTTGATAAAGATTTACTACCAGTGTAATCCTATGGAGCCGGTAAGGTTTATAAAAGTAGCATATCTACCGTATTAAAACACCAAGTCACGCTGACCAAATTAGAAAGAACAGATGACGAAGCAAGCACAAAATTCCTTTTTAGTTACCATCCTTTATTATTCTGTACTGTCTATGACATTGTACAAATTAAGCACAGTTATAACTATTAATAGTAGAATAATGATATATTTATCATACTCCAATAAAAAGAATTTAGATTTATAACGTTTTCCATTTCTGTTCAAGTAGCTTCTTCAAAATAAGTAAGTAACCGGATTAAATTAATAGATGTTTAAACAGCATAGAATAGTACTTTACTTACTTTTACTTACTTACTTACTTACTTACTTACTTACTTACTTGCTTACTTACTTACTTACTTACTTACTTACTTACTTACTTACTTACTTACTTACTTACTTACTTACTTACTTACTTACTTACTTACTTACTTACTTACTTACTTACTTACTTACTTACTTACTTACTTACTTACTTACTTACTTACTTACTTACTTACTTACTTACTTACTTACTTACTTACTTACTTACTTACTTACTCTATACTTACTTACTTACTTACTTACTTACTTACTTACTTACTTACTTACTTACTTACTTACTTACTTACTTACTTACTTACTTACTTACTTACTTACTTACTTACTTACTTACTTACTTACTTACTTACTTACTTACTTACTTACTTACTTACTTACTTACTTACTTACTTACTTACTTACTTACTTACTTACTTACTTACTTACTTACTTACTTACTTACTTACTTTCTTACTTACTTACTTACTTACTTACTTACGTCTGTTACCCCCAATGGAGCTTAGGCTGAAGACCAGCACTCTCCAACTCACTCTGTTCTGTGCCTTCTATTCTTGGATGATTTATAAAAATTAACCAGAAAAACGCTAACCAGTATAGAGTAGTAGTAAATAATATGTAGTTCAATCGAAATTAAAATAGATCTGACTATATCAATTTCTCTTCATTTTCATCAAGATGATTCTGTATCGAACATCATTGTGTGTAATTATGTGTATAGATTGAGTTCATTTACAAATTTACTTACTTACACTTGTTCCTCCTCATGAAGGAGCATAAGCCGCCTACCGGTCTGGTTAGCGACTTTTTAGCGAGTTAGTTTTCTACAGGATGGGATAACTAACTCTATGTCCAACCCTCCCATTCTACTCGGGCTTGGGACTGACAGTAACTCTAGAAGAGCTACAACTTTTCTCCTCATGGAGAAGCATACGCAGCCCACTAGCACTTTCTATCCAACTCTGTCCTGGTCAATCCTTCCCAGCTCTTTCCATTAGTTATTCATCCGTTTAATCTTTAAATATGGCCTCATAATGTAAAGTTATTTCTAATCAATAATTTATCATTATTTTAGAAAATCCAAAACAATATTTAATTGAACAATTACGTTTATTAAAAGCTTCACGTGATGAATATGCAGAACCTCCAACATTATTCACTGAAACTAATGCTGAAACAATATTTAATATGCTTGATCCATGTGAAAAGAACTCAATCCCTTCTGATCGATATCAGCATGCATTAGAAACATTAGGAGTACTTCAATATGGTAAAGTTATAGACAATAAAGATGAATTCATAAGTAAAGATGTATATATGAATGTTGTGTAAGTAACTGTGTTTTCTAATGGGTTTCAACTTCTTAGTAAAACAGGTTTAAAACAAATGGCATCAACTTATAAACCATTTAAATAAGTTATGGAAAACACAAAAAGTGGTACCAAAGAAGATTCATATGCAAACTGTTATTGTATAACAATGAAGTAGCCATGTGTAATGTATAAATCAAATAAAAAGATTGATATGAATCAAACTTTTCCTAATTGACAAATTATTGCTCTTATTTCAGTTTTCTAAACAAATTCAAAACAAATCTACTTGGTATTGTTTGACTTGTATCTTCCCATTAAGGTTTAAGATGCAGGTACATCCAGTTGACGAGTCCTAAATAGGACGAAACGCACGTCCTGGATTCCACTGCTAGCCACTATCCATCACTGATTACAAAAATTCAAAAAAATTTTGACAAACTATGTTGTAAAAGAGTTTATCTTACTTTAAGTATAAGTAATAGGTATTTAAACAAAGATCGATAGTGGCTAGCAGTGGAATTCAGGACACGCGTTTCGTCCTGTTTAGGACTCGTCAGATGGATGTGCCTACATCTTATAGTTTTTCACCGTAACATTCTCTTTAAATGCCATCACGTTATCCACTTAACTACTGATTACTGATATCCACCTGCTTGTGCAATGGGGGTGAAGTTTAAATTCACTTGATATTGTTTTACTTGTATCCTCCCATTGATATTTAGGACTGCAATTGATCAGTCTCATGTTGACATATTTGCGTCCTGTGTGGATTGAAGCGAACGGTGCTGGGTTCGAGTCCCGGAGCGAACATCAACTCGGATGCAAGTACATCCAGCTGACAAGTCCCAAGTAGGACGAACTGGATTCCACTGCTAGCCACTGTCCATCTCTGCTTAAAAAGCTCGTGACTTAAGGCTATATCGAGGCAATCCGCACAGGATGTACATATGCCAATATGAGACTGATCAATTGCAGTTTTAAATAACAATCGGATGATACAAGTAAAACAACACCTAGTGAATTTAAGTGATGGGTATGTTCTATATAGACGGAAGGCACACAGTTAAACGCTAATCAAAAAATTAGAAGTTTGTGTAAACATTAATTGTCATCGACTTGGTTGTTCGAATATTTGTGATTTATTGATTAGTATGATCAAGTAGACATAACAGATATGTGAAATAATCAGTCAGTCAGCAACAACATAGAACTTCGTACGTACGTACATCAGTTTGAGTTGCCATACAACATTGGCACACAGATACAATTGTCGATTCAAATTCCGTAGTGGTAGAGGTAGTAAGAGTATAAGCAGTAATCGGAAAGAATAGAGTTTGAAGATGTTATCCAAGGAGTGTAATCCAGTGAGATAAATTTGGAAAGAGAAAAAATGAGGGACATGAAGAATTCAGAAGGTTAGAATTTGGGAGGACACAAAAAAGGATGCACCTGGATTATTGCAAATGATTTCTAACCATGTCATTCAAGTTCTCTAACTATCGGTTGCTATCATCTCGCCGATCATAACCAGGTAGTCTACGCATACTAACATGGCTCAGTCGAGTTTTCAGTGACAGTGTGAAATACGGTGACAATTTGTGTTGTGATATGTTGTAGGATAACTATGGTGATGATCATAAGTGACTTATCAGCCAATTAGGAAGCACTACCTTGTTATAAAACGACTACCGATTAAAAGTAATAAAATTATAGTAGAATAGTGGTTTTGATATGGTTAATCATCTTTTATGTAATAACTTATTATGCTCAAAGAATAAGGTCCAGTTTACTTTATTAGAAGTTAAGCTAGAGTTGTTAATAAGGATCATAATCCCATAGGGTTTTCACCACTAACTAACATCAACTATAATGCAGTGATGTTATACCATCCCTTTGTTTATAAACTTGAGAAACTTTAAGTGGAGAGTTATATTCAGATGTTACAGTAAGAGAATATCATATAGAGCTACACAAATATCTTTGGCTATACAGTAAATGAAATTGAGTACTCTAATATACAATCTGCATCAAAAGTCGGTATTTGTTGTGATATAACTCAAGGATACTGTCATATTTATTGTTTGATTACATAATAGATGTTTTTATTGATTTCAAGTATTTTAGAAATCAAACATTGCCAATTTTTTCACTTATTTCATAGAACCATAGTTGCTATCTAGCACTACCTTTTAATTTAAAGCAAACATATAAGAGACGCTAATTTAATTTTGATTGCTTCATTCAGATCTATCAGTATGGTATATCAAAATAATAAAAAAATACTATCCTGTACTTTGACTTAGATTAGTTAATGAACGATATAGGCGTTAAGTCTATCGAATCATCCAAGTCATCCAATTGAGATACGCGCAAAATCGAAGTTCGCAGAACAACGATTTGTTTAAAACAGCGGTTCTTTACTGAATATTTTACAAAAATTATTGACAAACCCCAACTTGCGATGTACCTGGGGCGTTTAACACGTCCTTTTGTATGAAATAAAAAAGGGTTTCGATAGTGTAAAAGACAGCTGATAGCTGTATTTAAACTTGATAACAGTTTATCAACAAGCAAAACCTGAACCAAGAGCAAACAATATGGAGACTGATAGGTCTTGGGTTCGAATCTCGCAAGGAGGGATCGTGGGTGCGTACAGCTGCGGAGTCCCACAGTAGGGCGAAACGGCCGTCCAGTACTTCCACATCTTCCATGGTGCTCTAGCTTCAACTGACTCATGATCTCATTCATTAAAATACGGAAATCGTTGCGTTTAAGCAAATGAACGAAATTGTGGATAAATGCTACAGTGATTGAGATAAAGTAGCTATAATAATGAGTACAATATATGTTTTAACTAAATATAAATATTTCAGAATATTACATGACAAACGTGCGTTACAACATAAGTTAAAAAATTGCCGGGAATACAACTATTTACTGAATGTAAATAAGTAGTATAAAATAATATGCAAAAGAGTAGGAGAGAAGTGAGTGAGAATAGAATGTACAACAGACTTAACAGTAGGTAAATCAATCAAAAAGATAAAACAAGTTAATGGGATCAAATTCGAATGAAACACGATTAAAACATTTTAGAGTTGAGATCACTATTGCGTGATCAGTTAATGGTAAATACAAGTCGATAGTGATAGTTTTACAATTCTCTGTCATTCAGTGTACACATCCCAAGGTGATTAAACTAAGCCAGTTGACAATACCTATCTTTTGCATATAGTTTTCCATTGTCTAAAGAAATAAACGTATCTGTTGTATACGTAGGCCACTTTATGAACACTTTTATAATCTGATTATAGGTTATGGGAAGTAATGCAAATAAATTAAGTATGTTTCAGAAATAGGGAAATCATCGAAGCCATAAGGGATTTAAATGTAACACGCGTTAATCCAGTCAAACTAAGAAAAGAAGGAGAAGTTGTGACCTAAACTTTACGTGATATCTATTCAACGTTTTCTGAGTGTTTGACAACCACCACACTTGCTTGCTATTCATTTCAAATTAGATCCAATCGTTAAATACATCTCTCTGACCTTTATTCTCGGGTTCTCATTTAACATTCCTTGACAAGCAATCAATTGGTAATGTAACAGTATTTAATTTATCCATAGATATTTTGAACTAATTTGTCTGTGGAGTAAGGTTGTGTATTTCCCAGTTATATGGATGATTAGACCATCGCTGTTGAACACTGCAAGTTATCAGAAGAGCATTTGCCAACGACAAACTAGTTGGGTTTAAACTTCTGGCTGGCAACGTCTTAGAGTCATCATTATCCCAATAGGGAGGAAGTAATCTGTGGTTTTAAATTATACCCCAAAAGCAATAGCTCTGTAAGTCTTCGGCATTTGATGCTGACTACATTAGTTTTAATGGACTCGCCGAGCTGAAGGCGCTCGGTCATTCATCCGTACCAGATCGTGATTGGGAACGCCATGCTCAACTTCCCCTTCAACCATTAGCCAGTTTAGACCAGTCAATTATCAATATATCGACAGCTTATCAAATACATCTTCGAGCCTCCTCGCTTCTGACTCGATTTCACTGTGCACGTACAACTCATTTACAGAAGGTGTTACTGGTTAAAGTGTTATCAAAGTACAAATACCTGTAGTATCTTCAAACTAAAACAACTAAATTGTTTAATTAACAGCTTTACAATCTACTTTCGACCAGTTTTAAGCTTATAAAGGCCTGATATATTTTTTTAAACAATCTAGCTCACTACGTAAAATGTGATCATTTGTATAAGCATATTTTATTTGGTCATAGTGATCTCGCTTAGATTTGTATGTGAGTAACTAATCGCAAAGATTGTACTTTCCTGAAAATAGGTCTCTTCGTTGTATCGAATTCTTTACTTTTTTCAATCAGCCAACTGTTAAATACAAAAGCATTTGATGTACCAAGTACGACAGAATGTAATTATAAACAGGCAATATAAGAAATACGAACTAAGTAACTTCCAACTACAACCGAACGAAACCCTAATGATTTAATAAATGATTCAAGTTTATCTGATTAGTACAAAAGTGGTTTAAGGAGACAACATTATTTTTCTACTTGCCCCCAAATGCCTTGATACGGTCAAAAGTGGGGACCTTCAGTACTCCCTCTTCAATTACTTTCACGTGGCCACGTGCATACGGCCATTGCCAAGAAAATCCCACTCACTGCCTTTCGTGGCATTACTGTTGTTTAAGAAATTGAGAGGACGAAAATTGAATGTTCGGCGCCCTGACCGGGTTAGTGTATATAGAGGATCCACTAGGGGGAGTTGGAAAGCGTTCATTCCAAACCTATGGTGCAAGATCCTGAGGGAGTAAATGACGTATGAACCTATTTTTGGTGAACCGAAAAACTCAAGGTACAAACCGAATACAGAGAAGCAAACTAGCAAGTGAAGAAGAACATTGAAGCTGACAAGCGGAAGCACGTGGAAGAACGACAATGGAAGAAGCGACAAGAGAGGGAACTATGAAACAACGAAGAAACCGGCAGGAAGATATAGTAAGCCAGAGAGACCAATCAAAACAAATAAAACAAAACAGCCACCGATACTCAAGTTCAGACAAACAGGTAGGCAG